TAAATAATCTCTTAACCTTTACCACAATGTTTAATTGTTTAAACAACCCTCTTAAACTTTACCACAATGTTTACAGGGTTTAATAAACCTCTTAAACTTTACCACAATGTTTGCAGGGTTATACAAACTTATTCGACTATACCACAATGTTTCCAAGGTTATATAAATCTCTTAACCTTTACCACAATGTATAATTGTTTAAACAACCCTCTTAAACTTTACCACAATGTTTACATGGTTTAACAAACCTCTTAAACTTTACCACAATGTTTGCAGGGCTATACAAACTTATTCGACTTAACCACAATGTTTGCGAGGTTAAACTTTACTACAATGTTTACAAAGTTATATAATCTCTTAACCTTTACCACAATGTTTAATTGTTTAAACAAACCTCTTAAACTTTACCACAATGTTTGCAGGGTTATACAAATTTATTCGACTTTACCACAATGTTTCCAAGGTTGTATAAATCTCTTAAACTTTACCGCAATGTTTAATTGTTTAAACAAACTTAAATTTTACCACAATGTTTACAAGGTTTAACAAACCTCTTAAACTTTACCACAATGTTTGCAGGGCTATACAAACTTATTCGACTTTACCACAATGTTTGCGAGGTTATATAATCTTTTAAACTTTACCACAATGTTTCCAAAGTTATATAATCTCTTAACCTTTACCACAATGTTTAATTGTTTAAACAAACCTCTTAAATTTTACCACAATGTTTACAAGGTTATATAAATCTCATAAACTTTACCATAATGTTTACAGAGTTCTATAAATCTCTTAAACTTTACCACAATGCTGGAGGGTTATGCAATTCTCTTAAATTGTATCACAATGTTTAATTGTTTAAACAAACCTCTTAAACTTTACCACAATGTTTACAGGGTTAAACAACCTCTTAAACTTTACCACAATGTTTACAGGGTTAAACAAACCTCTTAAGCTTTACCAAAATGTTTCCAGGGTTATACAAACTTTTTAACTTTACCACAATGTTTACAGGGTTATACAAATCTCTTAAATTTTACCACAGTTTTTGCAGGGTTCCATAAATCTGTTAAACTTTACCACATTGTTTACAATTTACAAATTTTCTCGACCCTCATTGGTCAGAAAAGTAGAAAGAATGAATTAAAAAGATATAATATGATTTTTATTAGTTTTCTCTATTCAAAAGGTGTCACTGTCAGCTTTGGTGATTAAAGAATAGTTGGGGAGGGGGATCAGGTTTAGAAGCTTTCACCATAGAAATTAATGGGGAGGGGGAGAAGGAAGGAATGAAACAAGGAAGGAGATACATGGAGAATGGGAAGAGAAGGAGAAGGTAGGAAAGAAGGAGACGGGGGGGGGGAGTAGAAACCAAGACAATATGGGGATAGGGAAGTGGCATGAGTTGCAGTCTGAATTAAAAAGAGGGTGAAAAAATAAATTTTAAATAAATGTCTCTACATGCATTCAAATAAAAAATCATCCAACTTACAATTTATCAAAATCAAATTTCAATTTTGATATATTTTGGTGGATTTTCTCTGCATGTTTTAAATGTTAATTTTCATATTTTCATAGTTCTTAAAAACAAATGCAATCTAAGTTTTAGGACATTATTGTATTGAATATGTAAATCATTCAGATTTATTGAATAACTTCAGAAATATCAATCTATAGTTTAAAAGCCCCCATTCAGCCCGCTCCCCCCCCCCCATCAGCTCCCCATCCCATCTTCAGATGTGAAATTGTTTAATAAATATTTTAGAATTCTGCCTTTGAACAACTTGTTCAATTCTATACAATTCCAAACCAAGGATACAAGGATACAAGGATACAAGGATACAAGGATACAAGGTTAAAACTATATAATAATGTTGACACCCTGTATATAATAATGTTGACACTAATAGAGATTATATGGATAATGATAATGGGAAAAGTTTAGAGTGTTTAGAAAACCCAGAGATTACAAAGATGGAAGAAGAGAGTTGTGAGAATGAGTATGGTTACCGCACATTAACGATTTATCTTAAAGGGACTCTCCATCCCCGATGGCAATTCCCGATTTACAACGGTACCCTTGTAACCTTTATCTGATTAATAATCTGGAATATATTGTCGTTTTTCTAGGTCAGCCAATTTGGTCTAGCCGTTTGGCCAGCTATAGCTAACATATATATATATTTATAGAAATATACAAATATACATATGAGCTTTATTATATACGGATTTAAAACTGTTATGAATGAAAATCTAAAGTTGTGTTAGCATTTCTATTTGTAGTACACGCCTACTCCATAACAATTTACTCGAGGCGTATCTATCCAGGTCTCACTTGCTTTCAGATCAACTAGGCTTAACTCCCCGGTTCTAAATGACACACAGCCAAACTCTTAACCAGGCTGCACTCCCCAGTCTTAAAGGACACACAGTCCACTGAAATTGCTACACAGGCAATTGTTCAACTCGAATATAACTCAAAGAGTTCCAAAGCTCCGTTCCAAGCTTACTTATGCTTCTGATATCATAATCAAAAGCAGAGTTTGAGTCAACTGATCTATATTTCGTAGTTCATATTAGATTTGGGGTTTTTTTTACAGCGTAATTACAAGCTATGAGTTGTTAATATCTATAATGCATGAAATCACATTTACGAACATTTTCATCTACGAACATGGAATGGGTTAATCTCATTACAGGATTTGCGTAGTTATTATGTGAACGAAAAAAGACATATATATTACATTAGGCCCTAAGTTTAGCTAAACATGGTTTAACATGCTGATATATTTAAGAGAAAGAAATGTTTTTTTTTTACTTTTTGAAATTCTTTTGAAACCTATCCCGTAACTTCAAATCATTAGAGTTAGCGATCTAACATTTTTAAAAATGATATGGTTTTGAAAATGTGAGAGTTCACATGCAGTACATATTTCTATTATGCTTAGGTGGGAATGGGTCTGTTTACACTGCACAATTTTTGTATCTCATGCTCATTGGACTATTTAAAGTCATAACTTGAGTTTAAAAGTCGACTTCCTATTCCAGAGATTTCTGGATATCACTGTTATTCTATATGTTCATATGTATGCAGAAAGAAAAATATGGTTAGCAAACTTAAAGATTTGATACTCCGTTGGATTGTTATTAACCGAGGCTTACTCTCCGTCTCCGGGTAAAATCCTAGCTACCGGAGAACTGTGAAACAGAGGTACCGGGGTATACCGGAGAATATCGGAGATTATCAACCATTCGGCGGCAAACCGTCAAACTAAACCATCAGAGTTAGACAGAAATATCTAGATCTAAGCATTCATAAAGTGTCCCTTCATTTAAGAAAAAGGTGCATGTCTGATTCACATTAATGGTTAATCCTGTTTTTCTATGGAAAAAAATTGAGTCTGACACAAAATCAGATTTTATGATACGGTCTCATATCATTGCAACCCAATGGCATAGACCTTAGATATTTCAGACTATAAATTTAGATCAAATAATCTAAGTTTGAATATATTAATATTTCAATTGTAGATCCATATTAAAGTCACTTGTGTATTTATGCAGCAAAGAAAAGGAAGGAATTTAGGAGCAATTATATTTTTTATATAATAATAATATATAACATTAGATAAACGTTTAGAAAGCCCTTGGGCTCTACTTTAATATTCTGCTAAAAAAAAATAAGTTTTTTCCACAAACTCAATTTTTTCTGACCCCAATATCTTTACAACCGGATGGTGCAAACCTTTGATATTTCAAACTTAGACTATGTAAACTAAAATAATTCATAGTTTGAAATAGCAAAGGTCTACAACATCGAATTGCAAAGATATAAGGATTAAAAAGTTTTAGTTTGTGGCAAAACTCATTTTCTTTGCAAAAATCCAGTTATTTAGTGAAAAATGTGCAAAATGCTACAAATTATACTGAGAATTTTATACATTTAAATATTTATTTAAGAAAACTAGAACGGGCAAATTCCTTTTAAAGGAGTCTGAGCAAAAATCTATGCAAAATTTCTTTTAAAAAATCATGCAATCTTCTTTCTTTCGTTATAGGTTTTCCAAAGAGCTACAGAATGTTGAAATCCAATGACTGTAAGTAGGTCTGATTAAAGATTTAGTCTGGTATAGGTAAAATAAGGCATTCAAGGAGTATGTCTGAAGTATCAGGCAGTTGGTTTTAAAGTCCAGCTTTTAGTCTTAAAATAAAGGCATGTGTTAGATGGAAAAGCCAGAAAATTTTAGCTTCTTAGCTCAAATACTTTTTGAAATATCTCAAAANGTTTTGATCCGTTAATAAATATTTTTTTTAAATCGTATTTAAAGATATAAAATTTTTGTATTGCATAGGTTAGTCGTGTTTACTGTACATGTGTTTAAAACCTAAAAAAAACTAAAAAGATATATCTAAAACTTTTTCAAAGCAAAATAATCTAAAACTTACATTTTTGAAAATCTCTTGAAAAATTGATTTAAAAACACGTGTCACATCTTATTTTGTGTCATAAGCAAAAATTTTATATTTAACATTTTTCCGGAAAGGATTTGAGTTTTTGCCACAAACTCAAATCTTCTACATTCAAAATTTTCTAAACCTCCCTTGCATCCATGGCCAATAAATCGAGCGGTTCAGCACTTTTTTGAGGAGATATGAAGGATGTGTAAGCAGAATATACTTTTTAACGTTTTTTCATGTTATTTGGTTCATATTTGCATTTAAACTTTTTACAGATTTTTTATCTTTTTGACTGATCTCACATGCATAGAAGATAAGATGGTAAAAGATATAAAATCATTTGGTAAAAATAGGGTTAAAAGTTAGGCTTACAGAATTTTTTTTCTGGTATTAGACTCATTGAGGTCCAGCATACAAGGGAAGTAGTGCTATTTGATTTACGTAGTTTAAACACTTTTATCCTATTCGTTCAATTTTTTCCATGAACAGAAATTTCAAACATGTTGATTTATAAACAAACGATATTTTTTATTTATAGAAAATGATGTATTTACCTCTTCCTGACCTTTTAGATAATGGAGTTTCCTACACTAGACAGGATATCAAGCACACTCCCTTTATATATACAAGGTATACACTCCCTTTATATATACAAGGTATACACTCCCTTTATATATACAAGGTATACTCTCCCTTTATATATATACAAGGTATACACTCCCTTTATATATATACAAGGTATACACTCCCTTTATATATATACAAGGTATACACTCCCTTTATATATACAAGGTATACACTCCCTTTATATATATACAAGGTATACACTCCCTTTATATATATACCAGGTATACACTCCCTTTATATATATACAAGGTATACACTCCCTTTATATATCCCTTTATAATTATATACAAAGTGTGCACATATAAAAGGTTCCCACTTACATTTTGAATTCCAGAGCTCTCAATAATTTTTGATACATGATCCATCTTTGATACATGATCCATCTTTGATACATGATCCATCTTTGATACATGATCCATCTTTGATACATGATCCATCTTTGGTCAATGCAATGTGTTTAAAAAATGTTCAGCTTAATAGCAGTAGTAGATTTACATAAAATAAGAGAAGAAATCGTAGGTAGGGACCTTCTTTATATAAATACAAGGTATACACTCCCTATATATAATTAAATATAAAATACAATGCATATTTCATATTCTCTTATATTTAACAAATTTTAAAAGTGAATTTTATCTGCCTGAAAAATAGATTTGTTTTAAAACGTTTCTTTAATTCTTTTTAAGTTTAATTCCAATATAGTCTGCTAATCCTCGAATCTCCGGAATTTTGTGCAAAATCTTCTGGAATTCTAATTGTGAATTTTATTTCAATTTCTTAAAACGATTTGTTTTAAACTGTAGAGAGAAGAAAGAAAAGAATTTGGGAATATATATGATGACACCCCTCCCCCCTCTTCAAATTCATGTTGCCTCTCATCTAATAGTGTAACAATAACATGAATAGTGTACCAATAACATGAATAGTGTACCAATAACAAGAATAGTGTACCAATAACATGAATAGCGTACCAATTACGAATAGTGTAGTATTCGAAGATCTTTCATATTTCAATCTATAAATTCTGTTACATCAAATAATCTACATGACTTTGAAATATCAAAGGCTTATACAATAAGTTCCTTTGTGCTACAAGGAATATATAGTTCCTTGCTTTGTGTTACATCCTTATTATTTTTTTAAGGACTGTAAGCGTAATTTTAAGTAACCTTTCAATCAAAGATGGCATTGCCTGAATTACAACGGTACCCTTGAAACCTTTATCTGATCAATAATGTGAAAGATATTGTCGTTTTCCAAGGTTTACAAATTTATAATCTCTATATCGCTTGAATTGAAAATAATTATATTTTAATATTATAAACATCTAGATCATAGTTCATCAGAAAAAGTTTTTAATGGCACCGTTGTGAATCGGTCATTCCCATCTTTGCATGCAAGGTTACTTGAAATACCACTTACATTAAAATGCCAAAATCTAGTGACTATTGAAATGTTCAGGTTATTTTTATTGTTGTTTTGAAGATAATGGTATATATGATATAATATTTCGTTTTAGTTTTGACTCTGGGTTAACCCTGAGCTATGGAGCAGGAGAACTTCAAACCTCCAACTTAGATCCAGGTACCTTATACACCAGACCTTTTAAACCTGTGTTTTGAGCTCCTTCGGCACTCACACGATTCATCTCCACTCGATCATATAGACGTTGGATACTTCATTCACACTGATCCAAGGATTGCAAACTCTTACGCAAAAGTGACATCTTATTTCCACAGAGTTGAGTTCAAAAACCGGTTTCATATTCTATTTGGCTGATTTTCTTAGTAGGAATTGGCGCATTCCGGGTTTTGATGAGAACAAGACTAAAACCAACCAAGGTCGGTTTTATTTTCATTGGGCCTATCTCCTTAAGTTGAGCCGAAGATTTTGCAGCTGTCAAATATTAATTTCCAAGTAACAGTGCATTAAACAGGCGTTTTCTGTAATCCTTGTAACCAAATTTGTCGTTGTAATTTCAAGTTACCCCTAGTTAAAGAGAGGTATGTTACGCTTGAAACCTTTCTCTTTTTCTAGTTTAAATAGTGCTTTATTCAGATAATTCTCAAACGTTTCTGTAGCAAAAATACGTGATTTCCTTTTATACAAAAACCACAACTGAGAATAATCAAATTTTTAAAGTTTAAAAATGATCTTATTTATTTTTGAGCATACAAATTAAATGTCATCAACGGAGGGCAATTATTTCAATATTTCCTTTAAACATTAGTTGAGAACATAATATTCTGCTTAGGAAGTGAACCAACAGAGCAGCTAAACCTTACTGCCAGCTGCTCCAGGAGTAACTATGAGCTGTTTACAGATCATTTAACAGCTGAACTAATAGAAAACTGCTCTTGGACAGAGACAGAGGTATCATCAATTATTAACCCTATCCAGATTGTCTAATATAGTTTTGGGGTGAATGTTTTCCGCCCCCCCCCCTAATATGTGTCCAATTATGTTTATAAGTTAGTTTGCTAAATGTCCCTGTCCAACTGCAAAGTAAAAAATGGACCTCTTTTTTAAACAAATTTTTCCCCATATTTTTTGTAAAAAATATTTTACCTCTAAATTTAATTGTTAGAGTGGTGGAGAGGTTTTATAAAAATCCAAAATGTTTAAAAGAAAAATATGGTTGAGCGCTCTAGTGTAAGCCATTTTTAAGTTGTGGAAAACAAACACGGGGGGGGGGTGTCGGTAAACATCTCCCTCCCCCCTGTATGCTTTTACACTTTACAAACGCGTTTGAGTTTTCAAGAATCTTTTTAAAAACACCAAAAAAGGTCCACCACCCGTCTTTCATATCTCTATTCTATTTAGGATCCTCCACCAGTCTATCATATCTCAACACTGAATATATCTCCAGTAACAGAACCATTCTATATAGACCAGGTATAGATAGATGGATTACATGGGACATTCGTTCAACACTGGAATTTAATCCAAACCTGACACAGAGAAACACAGTAGGAACTAGTTCTATGCTGGAATGTAATCCAAACCTGACACAGAGAAATGCAGGGGAAACTAGTTCAAAAATTGAATTTGGTCCAAACCTCACAAAGATAAATGCAGGGGAAACTAGTTCAAAACTGGAATTTGGTCCAAACCTGACACAGAGACACAGGAGAAACTAGTTCTATGCTGGAATGTAATCCAAACCTGACACAGATAAATGCAGGGGAAATTAGTTTAAAAATTGAATTTGGTCCAAACCTCACAAAGATAAATGCAGGGGAAATTAGTTCAAAACTGGAATTTGGTCCAAACCTGACACAGAGACACGGGAGAAACTAGTTCTATGCTGGAATGTAATCCAAACCTGACACAGATAAATGCAGGGGAAACTAGTTCAAAATTTGAATTTGGTCAAAACCTGACAAAGATAAATGCAGGGGAAGCTATTTCAAAACGCAAATTTGGCCCAAACTTGTCATGACACAAATAAATACTGGAATTTGTTCAAAACCTGATATAATGCAGATAAAAACAAGGGAAACTAGTTCCACACTGAAATTTGATACAAACCTGACAGAGATAAAAATACAGCTTTGAATTGGTCAAATATTTAGAAAAGATCTATAGATGAGTACAGGGTAAATTTTTGTTCAAAGATATTGGGGTTTAATGGTAAATGTTGAATTGTTAAACTGCTCACACATTATATTGTGTTTAAATGCTCCCAGTGTTCCAATTTGTCTCCAGTTTGAATATTTAACTGAATATTGGTGGAACTAGAATATATTCTAGTAAAATTCCAATAATGGGACTGTAAGCGTAATTGTAAGTGACCCTCCATGCAATGATGACAATGCTTGATTTACAATAATGGTGATCAAGTATGAATTAGATGTCCATGATTTTGTTTTGTAAAACCGTTTATTTTTTGTGGTTTTCTACAGTGTATCCCAGATATATGAATACATAGCAAGAGTTTTTTATAATGTCGTATCACATATTCAAGATCAAATGCCGCGGAAAAATGAGTTTAATATTAATATATGAATTGCATTCATATTTCAGGGCTATTAATTTACCTTGAATTAAAAATAAAAAGAAGTTTTTTTAGAATTATCAAAAAACTTATGACGGTCAATGTATTCATATATCTGGGATTCACTGTACGCAAAAGTGACTTGCGAGTTGGGCATTTCTTTCAAATTTGTAATCAGGTTAAAGTTTTAAAGATACCGTTGTAAATCAGGTATTGTCATCTTTACACGAAGGATCACTTAAAATCACGCTGACAGTTCATTTAACCCTTAAAATGCTTGACGGGTTTGGATACAATTCTATAAAATCACTGTTCATCTATCATCTTCAATCACTGTTCATCTATCTTCTTTATCTAAGGCGACCCTTTAATTGAAAATTGCTAAATTGCTATTTAGAAATTTCCTCCCGTATTCTGTATTGAGAGAGGCACTTTCATTTTCTTTTCCCTTCTAATTTTCTTATACTCATTTATGTAGGCGTTAATTTAAGTGACATAAAGTATTCATTTTCAATGTTCATGTATGTATAGTTGTGTATGTCTAAAGAACACATTTAATTTATTTTTATTTTTATTGATTGTGTACTTATTGTAGAGTTCTTTGGAGCCTGAAGATGAAGCAAGAGGAACCAACATCCTAGATTTAAACAAAGAAAATAAGATATTTAACAAAGAAGAAAAGGTCTTAAATACAGAAGAAAAAGATTTAAAGAAAGAAGAAAAATTTGTCCTCAAAGGAGAAAAGAAGAAACTTTGTGTGACGGAAGAAGAAATACAGAAAACCTTATTGAAACTTAGGTACATATGGGTACATATAGGTACATAATCAATAAAATATTGACTTTAGGCAAGGTCGTTATCCTTATACACTGATCCTTATACACTTGCATCTTGCATCGGAAATGATTCAGACATCCAGTACATTGTACACATTTTAAAAAGAGCTTTTAAACCAAAAATGATCTGGACTTTGATTCTGTATCCTTAACAGAGGGATATATTCTTAACTTGATGGATTAAATAGTTATAAAAATTCGGGGCACTCATCTCAAACCAGTCTTGGGGGCAGATTAAGTCTAAACAAAGGGCAACGACAACGAATTAAAAACAACATTGCTATATGTTTATTCATGTATGTATGAGAAGTACCTCACGATGGAGGGAAGACACTAGAGATGTTAACGACAGTGTAAAGTAACGTAAAATGTACGTTCTTGTATGTTACGTTACATTAACATGAAAAGTTTGGATATATTCTACATAACATGAACGTTGAACGTTAACATTATAGGAGCTTATACCTATAAACGTTAAATTTAAACGTTAACGTTAGAGGTACATACCCATAACTTTAGCCATTTGTAGTAATATTAACATTATTTTTCTAATATCTAAAACACGTTTGAATTTTAAGTTATGAAAATTTAATATAATATTTTAGACCTTTACCTGTTAGTGATGGGGACAAGATTCCCCCTTGCAGAACTCCGAAGGATTCTCTCGTCTCATTTATAGAAGAATATCTCTTAAACAATGTGTCATGTTTAGCAGAAGCAATAGCTCAGGAGTTCACAGATAAAAGAGAAAATAAAATAAAATTAGGTAAATTACATCTAAAATCGGTCCTTTTTTATGTAATTTATTTACTAAACTGTTACAAAGGAATTGAGTCTTTGTCACAAACTCAAATGTATAATTACTATTTTTTGGAATCTGATGGTGTAGACCTTTTCTATTTGCCATTTAAAATCAGAGTTTGTGGCAAAGACTCAATCCTTTTTTCCTGTTTTCTAACCAAATTTTTCAATAAGCTTCTCAAAAATACTTATTTTGCGCTATTTTGCTGAATTGCTAAGTTGCTCTTTTAATATGGTTCCTTTCATAAACTCTGGAATTTGTGGCCAAGACTCTTTCTTGAAAACAAATAATTTGTTGATAAAACATCTAAACAAAACTAAGTTGTTTTTTTTATTTATTTTTAATCACCAAATATCAAGATGATGATGATTAATGCTTTTTAAATTTTCAAATTACATGTTTACGTATTTCTATTTAATCAGGTTCAAATAATACACAATCAATACCACATGGACCATCCAAGCCAACCAAGTCATTGGACGAAGAATTCAAAGATTGCTTTGATGCTTGGAACGTGGACACAGCTTCAGAACCGGTTTTTGGATTATGGCGGGATCCTGGAGAGTCTGCCATCTTGGCGGATTATCAACTGAACAAATCCAGTTCTCAACTTCCGGTTTCATGGTCCAGTGTAAAGTACTCTAAACATATCTGCTCAGTTAAATGTCCAAAGTCTAGAAAACGAAAAATTGATTGAATCCAAAGTTTTTAAATGAATTGAGTCTTAGGCACAAACTCTGAATTTATAATCCCTATATCTTTGGAATCCAATGTCGCAAATCTTTGATATTTCAAACTTACATTATTTGATCTAACAGAATTCATAGTTTGAAATATCTAAGGTCTACGACATTGGAATCCAAAGATATATGGGCAGAGTTTGTGGCAAAGACTCAATTCCTTTGCCTTTAAATGTGGATTTTAGAAAATTGTGATTCCTCAAAGCTTAAATTTTTTACCTCACGGATGTTAACTTTACAATGAAACCATAACACAAAAATTCTTCTTTAAGGATCTCATTTTTTGTTCTAACGATTTTATTGCACCAGTCTGTACGAATTTATATAAATTCATCAATAATAACATATAAATTATCATATTTTGTAAAAATTTAAAATTTAAAATATTGCCTAAAATATATTAAAACAAATAGTGCAATCTCAAAAATGCTGCTTATTTTAGAGACGATTCCTCCTTATCAAACTTTTATGTTTCTTTGGACTCACGTGACTAGAAAGCTATGAAAAAAAGCTTGCAAGAGCTCTTGATGTTTAAATATTGAGACTGAATTCTTGAAAGTTTGACAATTTGAGGGATTAAACATAATCCCGGAAATTATGAATTATATTATACTGAAACATTATTAACATTGTGGTATAAGATTTAGGATATTTTATGATTTGATACGACTTTGTGACCTCGCAGCTCTTCTAGTTTGGATTTTACGCAGAAATACGAGAAAAGCCAAATTATCCGGTTTCATAGCAAAAAATTCAAAACTGTTTTGCTCTTCTCAATAGGTCATCAATAAGAGTGATGGTTGTAAATATTGTAAGATTTCAATCTGGCGTGCAATTGTCAGAATAATTCCTGTATTTTTATGTTCGCAATCCCATTATGTCATGTCCGGCTAACATCCGGTTTCAGACTAACTTTTAAATTGCACTGTTAACCGTGCAATTTAAAAGTTTGTCTGAAAAAGGATGCAAAGGCTGAAATTGTTATTTGTCTGTAAAAAATTGATTACTTTCAACATGTGGTTTCTTTAGAAAAGTGGTTTTGCTAAAAATCCGCAAATTCATTTTTACAAATACAAAACAAGAAGAAAAAATGGTGGCATGGAAAGCATAATGTAAAAGCTAAGAAAGTAGCGTGAATCGCCTTGCAAGCAGTTTTTTCTTGTCTATTACCAAGAGAAATGGTATTCTTTGAATCCTCGGCATAGAAATTGATATCAGAAATATGTACAAAAATCTAATCAGAAAAGATTTGAGTCCTTGTCACAAACTCTGATTTCGTAATCCCTATATCTTTAACCTTTTGTTCGCATTTAACTGTTATACAAGTAAAAGCTGCCCTTGTTATCTATATTATGGGCTAGGTTTGATTGGGATTATATCTGGGCCAAGCTCTGCGGCCATTAATCTCGGCCGAGTGCTGCGGCTAGGATGGGATAGGGAACCGAGCGTTGCGGCTATTAATCACTTAGTTGTTAAATCGTGCTAAACTTTTCAGAACACTTCATTACTTCAGGATTAGTCTTTGTTCCCGAGTACAATCTCCTCATGTTATATATATTTAGGTGGGTAAGACCTGTTCTTCAGGATTAGTCTTTGTTCCCGATTACAATCTCCTCATGTTATATATATTTAGGTGGGTAAGACCTGTTCTTCAGGATTAGTCTTTGTTCCCGAGTACAATCTCCTCATGTTATATATATTTAGGTGGGTAAGACCTGTTCTTCAGGATTATTCTTTGTTCCCGAGTACAATCTCC